AATTCCGTAGCGGCACACTATGTTCTTGAAAACGAAGTCTTTCAGCTTTCTGGTTGTGATCGCGGTTAGCGGTTCAGCTTCTACCCATTTTGTGAAATAATCTACCGCGACCATGGCATATTTGACCCCTCCCTTTCCAACTGGCATGGGACCGATAAGGTCGATCCCCTACATGAAAAATGGCCAGGGGCTAGATGTCGTTATCAGCTCGTGCAAGGGGGCTCACGGAATGTTCGCGAATCGCTGGCACTTATCACATTTCTTGACAAAATTGTGCGTATCTTCTTGGATTCAGGGCCAATAATATCCCTGACGAACAACCTTGTTCGCAAGAGATCGAGCAGCTGTGTGATTTTCGTAGATCCCTTCATGGATTACCCTCATGACGTAGTCTGCTTCTTCACTGGTTACACATCGGAGGAGAGAGGCACTGAATCCTCTCCTGTACAGCTGGTCCCCGATGAGTGTGTAACGAGCAGATCTTGCTCGCAGGACCCTTGCCTCGACCTTGTCGCTTGGCAAGGTCCCGTCCTTGAGTACTGGACAATGGGAATCATCCAGGAATCTTGTTGAGTCACATTTACGGCCTGTTCGGTTGAGCTGATAGTTGGAGCATCAACGAAACGAACAGGAATGTTATCTGGAGCCTCTGAATCCAACGACGAGGCTATCTTTACTAGGGCGTCTGCTATAGAATTACTCTCTCTGGGGATCTGAGTGATTTCAAAGTGCTTGAATGACCCGAGAGCGGTCTTAGCTTCTTTCAGGTAGCGGACCATGTTCTCTTCCTTGGCTTGGCATTCCCCTAAAATTTGGTTGACGACCAGCATAGAGTCGCTGTAAATGCTGATCGCGGTTGCACCCATTTCTTTGGCAAGTCGCAACCCGGCGAGCAAGGCTTCATACTCAGCCTCATTGTTGGTCGCCTTAAACCCGAACCAGAGAATACCATGAATTCGAGCCCCCTCGAGGCTTACAAGGAGAAGACCCGCACCGGCTCTTTTCCTGTTCGATGACCTGTCGACGTAGAGGTTCCAGGTCAACAGGTTTTGAATACTTTCCTGCATGACTTCGCTAGGCTGTTGCTCGCTTGGGAGATAGGAAAATTCTAATATGAAATCTGCAACAGCCTGCCCTTTAATGGTCGACCTGGGCTTGTACTTCAGGTCGAACTGGCTTAATTCCATGGCCCATTTGAGCAGTTTACCCGAGGCTTCTGGTTTCTGGAGGACCTGCCTTAGGGGATAATTAGTCATTACGTGGATCGTATGGGCGTGGAAGTAAAGTCGCAGCTTTCTTGATGCGATCAGCAGAGCAAAGGCTAGTCGCTCCATTTCTGGATACCGTATTTCGGCATCCGACAGGCGCTTGCTCGCATAGTACACTGGCCATTGCGCCTTTTCCTCTTCCCGTACCAGAGTTACACTGACCGCGAACTGAGATACGGACAGGTAGATGAGCAGGATTTCCTGTGGAAGAGGCTTAGAGAGGAGAGATGGCTTCCCGAGGTGTTCTTTTATACTCTGGAATGCCTGTTCGCATTCAGGAGTCCATTCGAATTTCTTATTGGCCTTCAGAACATTGAAAAATGGCAAGCAGCGGTCTGTTAGCCTTGATATGAAGCGACTAAGTGCCGCTATCCGCCCATTTAGACTCATGACCTGCTTCTTGCTGGTCAGGCTCTCCATATCGAGCAGAGCTTGGATCTTTTCAGGGTTTATTTCTATGCCCCGCTGATTAACCATATATCCCAGGAACTTTCCTGACGATACCCCGAACAAACACTTGAGAGGGTTCAGCTTCATTCTGTACAGTCGGAGGATGTCAAACATCTCAGCGAGATGTGCAATGTGTTCTGAGGCGGCCTGGGATTTGACCAGCATGTCGTCCATATAGACCTCCATTGTCCTTCCGATCTGGTCGGAGAACATTCGGTTAACCAACCTCTGATAGGTCGCGCTTGCATTCTTGAGGCCGAAAGGCATAACTTTGTAACAGTACAACCCCCGGTCCGTAATGAAGGACGTATGCTCCTCGTCTGGCCCATACATCGGGATTTGATTGTATCCCGAGTATGCATCCATGAAGCTTAACAACTCGTGCCCCGAGGTGGCATCAACGAGCTGGTCAATTCTCGGCAGGGGGAAGCTGTCTTTCGGGCAGGCTTTGTTGAGGTCGCTGAAGTCAACGCAGGTCCGCCACTTGCCGTTTGGCTTCTTTACCAGGACCGGGTTGGCAACCCAGGTCAGGTAGAGAGCTTCTCGAATGGACCCATTTCTGAGAAGGTTTTCCACTTTTGATTTCAGTGCGGCGTACCGCTCTGGATCCATTGCCCTTCTTTCCTGGTGAATCGGTTTGGCTTCACTGCTGACGTTTAATGAGTGACAAATAATGTTCGGGCTGATCCTGACCATATTTGCACAGGCAAACACGTCAATGTTTTCCCTTAAGAAGCTTATCAGCTCGGAAGCGAACTGAGGGCTGAGACAGCTTCCAATCTTCAACACTCGGCTCAGCTCTTTTGGATCAATTGAAATTTCGGACAGATCCTCAACCGGGCCGCTCAGAGGGATTTCCTGGATTCGCGGATCTATGTTATCCTCCGCTGGACCATGCTGTGGTTCGATCTGGCTTATCGCCATAGCCTGGCGAGGCACACATCGCATAATGCCCTTTCCCTTGCCTGCCATCTGCACCGCTTTTACGTAGCATTCGCGAGATGCGCTCTGCGATCCGCTCACTTCCCCTATCCCTGTTGGAGTGGGGAACTTCATCTTGAGGTGATATATGGAAGTGACTGCCTTGAAGCTTCTCAACAGAGGTCGCCCCAAGATTCCATTAAAGGCCGATGGGCAATCCACGACCAAAAATTCGTTAACCCTAGTCACCTCGTCGTAGTCGTCGAGCGTGACTGGTAGTTGGATCGTTCCTTTGGGGATCAGGTGATCCCCTATAAAACCGTAAAGAGGCATCGAGGCTGGCTTCAGGTCGGCCTCGTCTAGGTTCATTCTATCGAAAGCGGTCTTGAATAGGATGTTCACAGCGCTTCCGTTGTCCACAAGCATTCTGCAGACATTATGGCACCCTATCAGGGGCGTGATTACCAGGGCGTCCTCGTGGGGATGGTGCAAGCGAGCTGCTTCCTTCTCGCAGAAGGTGATCAGCTCCTCCTTTCAAGCCTTTTGCGGTCGCTGCGAAGTGTTCATTACCCTGATCGGGTCGTGATATGCTTCACGAGCGTACCTTTCCTGTGCACCTCGCGTGTTTCCCGTGAGGTGCAGACCTCCGAAGATTATGTTAACACTGCTGTACCCGCTGCGATCACGACGCTTTTTCTTCTGCTCCACTTGGTTCTCTTTTGGAGAGTCATCAATATACTCTTTGAAATGCCCTTTCTTGATGAGCTCCTCAATTGCCTGCTTTAGAGCTCGGCATTCATCAGTATGGTGCCCGTTATCCCGATGGAAACGGCAGTATTTTTGCCTGTTTCTGGCCGTAGCAGGGGTTTTCATAGGTTCCGGTTCACCGAGTAGGCTGGCCTCCTCGGATTTGTCAAGGATTGCAGATATGGACACGTTCAGCGGAGTGTATTGAGTTCTATCCCGGTCATGACGAGGAACAGGAGCATAGGACTTCTTGTGCTCATAGCGGGGTTTCTTCCCTTTTCGCTGATCATCAATGTCTCCTTTGCGATCAGCTCTCCTATTTTCTCCCCGACCAGACATACGGCTCGGAGTGCCGTGATCGCTACGGCGGAGTGCCGCCAATGAATTCTCTATTCGGAGATATTTTTCTGCAAGGTCGTAAAATCTGGTGAGGGAAACATCGTCCTCAGCCTGCAGTTCTTTCCACAGGTCGGTTTGCGGGCGAACTCCAGCTATTATAAGTGTTCGGATGGACTCTTCTGGGGCATGAGCCACCTTGTTGAGTTCCATGTGGAAACGATCGATATAAGATTGCAAGGATTCGTCTCTTTCTTGCCTTATGTTGCTGAGGTAGCTCAAAGGCATCGAAAACTTTCGATTAGCTTGGAAATGCCGTAGGAACATCGTGCTCATCTGAGGCCACGAACTGATCGATCCCGTTGGGAGCGACCTCAACCACCGCTTGGCGTGAGAAGTCAGCGTCACGGCCAAACAACGGCATTTTGCAAGATCCGAAACCTGGTGGAGCTCCATCAGGTCGTTGAACTCATATAAATGATCCTGCGGATCATGGTTCCCATCAAACGGCCGCATATCGGGCATTTTGAACCCCGGTGGGAGTGGAGCAGCTAGCACTTCGGGAGAGAAAGGGGAGGCAAGGGACCTAGACTGTGTTTTTTTTTTTCGTTTTGCTGCTCCCTTAACCTGTCCAGAGCTCGCTGTAGCTCCTCAATTTGTGGTAACGGAGCCAATTGGGGATTACTCTCACCCATGGGAGTCCGGCCTTCACGATTACGGTTCAGGAAAGTCCGGAGGTCGGACTCCTCTTCTCCTCGGTCGGCATTTTCGGCCGCACTCGACACACGCTGACTAGAGGCGTGTGAAGGCGAAGGATTGTGCGAGGCGTTTTCACGACCCTCGCGGTGGTACGAACCGCCCCGCGAGGTATGGGGACCACCCGCATGATAGCGATCAAGATCGTTCTGCTGGTGGTGATAGGAATCGTCGCGCCCGGCACCTTTGCTTGGGTTCACCTGCGACGTGGCATGGGACAACTCGGGATTCACTTTTTCGTCGAGTCTCAGCTTTGCCGGCACCCTGCTCGAGGCGCGGTTTGTGTTTGCTGGTCTTTGGGAGCCTGTAAGCTTACTTTTTTCCACTTGCTTACCCTTACGCCTACGCGCTGCAGTGCTCGCGGCACGGGCTATTTCCCTTTGCCGCGCTTTCGCGCGACCTGCAGGCGTTTTTGGCGGCTGCACCGCCCCAGCTATTGTAGATGACATTCCTTGGTCCAAACAGTCCAGCCTCTGGTTGACCGTCTGGAGAGTATTATCGAACCTCTCCAGGTAGCTTCTGATGGCGAGGTCAAGCTGCGAAGCTGCCGGGATATCCCCCACAGCATTTTGTGAAACTGGAATTATCTTGGAAGGGGTATCCCCTTGGGTCAAGGGGACTCTTTCAGCGCGCTGGTTAGCTTGCTCAGGTTCAGATTGGCGGGCCATTTGTTGCTATAGGACCAGTAGGTTGAAGATTCTCCTGATGAAGGATGAACACTAAATCAGGCCCTCCTTCTAGCGCCAAACTGTTGATGCGTGATTCTTACACCAACTAATCGACATGTGTGTAACGTTGATTGGTCAGGAGACACACGTGATTATGGATAGAAAATGTGAAATGAATGCAATAAAAGCTTTTTAAAGTGGTTCGGATGCTAAGGTAGCAAGTCCTACGTCCACTGATTTGTATTAGTAATGTGGGTCAGGTCGCAACAGTGGACTAACTTACAAATGATTAGGAAAAGTAAATACAAAGTTTGCAAGAGAGAGAGAGAGAGTTCAAGTGTAAAAATGGCCGAATCCCCTTAATGAAGGGGTCTTCTCCCTTTTATAACCAGATGAGGGCGTGTGATCATCATTCAATCCATGGGTTGGTGTGAGTGTCAGGACATAATCCGGGTTTACGTCCCATTGCCGCCTTCCCAAGCTGATTTCACGCGATTTATTGCAGGGAAATGGACGCGTGGGAGCTCCATAGCGCTTGGCAGGCCTAACGTGTATCTACCGTTCTGACGGGAGCAGGTCACACTGCACCACGTGACTTTCCACGTCAGCCCTTGTTTTCCCAGGCATAACAAAATTAGTTAGGTCTTTGAATGTCATGTTCATTGATTGAATGTGAATTTTGTAAGACCTGTCCGTAGATATTTGAAAAACTAGAGGAGCTGCTTTTCACTGTAATGTGAGTGTTGTTTTCCCCTTTGATATTAATACCATTAATAGAAGTAATTTGTCGCAGAGTTATTTTTCTTTAAATGGAGAATATATATAATTAATGAGGAAGGTTTTGAGGTTGGTAGAATCAGTGTGTCAGTTTATATACTTTTGAGGAGCTTAGAGCTCTGTGTTGCCTGATATGTAGAAGAAAACAAATTAAAATGAGAGGTGTAGAACTTCATTATTATCAGAAATAAACATAAAAAAGCAAAGAGTTTTTCAAGTTTCTTCTTTTAGATGTAATCACAAGGTATATATTTGATAACTTTATTGTATCTTGACAGGACATTCCTGAAGGACTTTGGCCTTGTGCACCTTTTTTGGTAATCCTTGATATCAGCTACAATTCCCTTCAACATGTACCTCACAGGATTGATTGTTTTACCGAATTGAGGGTATAAAAACCATTCTATTCCAAACTTTGTTTTTTTTTTTTTTTTTTTTTCCCTTCAGCTATTTGAATGACCTCCCTGTAAAAGATCATGAAAGTAAATCCTTCAATCTCAATTCTTTGGTAGAAATTGTTTCTTAAGAAAAATGATTTGTCGGATGAATCCATTAGCTGGCGAGGACTCACAAGTCTGAAGCTTCTACAAGTTCTATCTTTAAGCCAAAACTGGTTAGTTTTTTATGTTCATTTATATGTAAAATATGTCTTGTAGATTTTTTGTCTTCTGCTTTCCTGTGCAAAACACATATATATTCTTTGAGCTATCTACTGCTTGTTTACCTTTCATTGAAGCCTTTTATTTTGAATATATCAATGAGTTTATTATAACCGCTGTAGGATTCCTTTTAAGTTATTAATTCCTTTTTGGGTTGGGCTTAGGAATAGGAATTCTTGTAAAACTAGGTTTAATCTCTTAAACCTAGTATATAAACATACTTTTCTCTTGTTATGAGTGTGAGAGCAATTCATTCATTGTAAACAAGAGAGGTGAGGCATATTTCAATAATATTGACTCAGCTGGACGTGGCCCACATTGGGTGAACCAGGGTAAATCGTGCGTATAATTTCTTTGTTTACTGTTTGTTTTGTTTTACTATTATTATTTTGTTCCTGTTGCTTCTCTATTTCGTTCACCTACTGCTCCAGTATGCCAAGGAGCATTTATGGAGTTGTGGTTTGTTTTTCTACTTTTTACCTGAAGTAACAAGAAAAAAAGAACTTATCGTACATGCATATAATTGTTAAGACTTTACAAAATCATGATTCTGTCTTTGTTATTTTACTAAATTTCATATAAGTGCATACTAATTCTATAGAGTTCTTTAATCATTGTTCTTGAAAGTCACCTGAGGTGTGAAAAGTGGGATACTTTCTTTATCCCTAAGGTGTTATACGCCTGGAACCGTAGCTTCACTGTGTATGTGTGCATAATATGGCTGTTGCATCTTTTCTGCAGTTTGAACACTTTGCCTCCGACGCTGGGTCTTTTGACTTCTCTGCAGCGGCTAGATGTTGCAAACAACAAGTTAACTGCCCTCCCAATTGAAATAGGAAATCTGACTAAGCTTGAAGATTTGCAAGTCAACAATAATAGGTACTATATAGATAAATTGATGCAATTATTTTGTAGGAAATCTTTTGCGCAAACAGAATAAGACTGCCCTATGCATGCTTCTTCCTGTCTATGCTATACATAATTCGTGATTCTTGATTGGTTTGTTTATCTTGCTCAGGATTAGTTCCATTCCTTCAAGTGTAGGCAACTGTACTTCTCTTATCGAGGTACAATTCTTGGTGTTTGTCTCTCTATTTTTTATTTTAATTGAATGAAAATCTGTCTAATGCGACATAAATTACTTGGCCATTGGCTGCAAACTAGAAGTATATTTCATTTGACTTGATCTTCACGTGGTGCAGGTGGATCTTTCATCAAATCATCTGTCTGAGTTGCCAGATGAATTTTGCAGTTTGCATAACTTGAAGGTCCATACTTTCTTTTTAGTTATATATTTCTTTCTTTCTGCTCTCTTTCATCTGACTGTTGTATCAAGGATCTAGATAGTTTGTAAATGAAATTTCCGCCCCATCTTGGTCAATTTTGCACTAAATTGAAATAGAACTTAAGACATTATTATTGGACAGTCAAATTCTTGCATCAAGAGGTTCACCAATTCTTGTGCTGTACATTCTTGAGGGAGCATCAGATTAGCCATCAAGAACTGTGGCTAATTTTTTATCTTGGATTTATTCAATGTTTCTATTACTGTACAGGCTTTGCATATCAGTAACAATGCTATGAAAAGCCTCCCAAATTCGTTATTCACGATGTGCGCCCAGCTATCAACTTTGGCTGTTCATAATACAGAAATCACTACGGATACCCTATTGCAGGTTTTGTATAATATTTATTAGAATTATCAAGTGGCCAAGTTTATTCCCCATTTATTGCAACAGACACTAAAGTAGTCTTCTACAACAGTGTGAAGGATGGGAAGATTTTGAGGAGCGCCGTCATGCAGAGTGTCAGAGGCGAAGAGAGGAACATTTTAATTCTGCTGAATTTGATGAATTGGCTGATACTATATTCAGTGATTTTTTGCGGAATAGAGATGGCTGTTCTGCAAGTTGAGATGAAAAATCTGGCTTTTCCATTTAGAACAAAGGAACATAACATTTGATTCAACCTTGATGATATGTGAATATTTATAACAGGATGGCTGATTTTAGCTTTATATAGGATTTTCTCCCTCGAACATTCAGTTGGAAGTAATGAAACATTTTGAATTACTACCAAGGTACTCTGCTTTTGATCAACTACATCACATAGGAAGTGGTAGGATATGGGTTAAAATCTTAAAATTTCTGAATAAATTTGCTTCTGACTTCCGTTATTTCAGCAAACTGTAACAGGACAGAATATATTATTTCCAAAATACATATTCATGTGTTGGTTTTTGCTGGAGAATACCAAGGAAAGAGTTTGTAGAAAGAGAGTTTTTTCAGCTAAAAATTATCTGCATTTCATTAACATAAACTGAAGTTTTTGTGCACTGTTGCACCTAATCTGCAGAAGATAATTTGCAAACAATTATCCTCATCGATACATAATTAACAACTACAAGTACACTACATCAAAAGGAATCTTAATCACCGGCTGAATGACTGCTGGATTTACCAAAAACCATCACATAAACTTGTCAAGAAATCAACCCAACAGAACTGCTCCCAGAACTGCAATTTCAAACTTGGCGCCAAAAACTTGCTACTTCATCCAACTAACACTTCTTCATACTTCCAGCTAAATATCACTAACTTTAAACCATAAATCTATTGCTAATTTGTGTAGACGATAAAATCTACGGTTACAAATATGAGGGTCGGATCTTGTGTTGCGAGCCACTGACAATCTAGTGGACTTGCAGAGAAGGCAATGAGGATAGTGGAGGCTGAGGTGGCGCAAAAGAGACATTGGAACATTGCGACAGCTTGAGAGCTAGTAGGCGATTTGTGAATCACTGATGAGAGGGTTTGCCTCTCTTTATATAGTGAACCCATGAGGTTGGAATCCTAGTAGGACTTTGAGTCCTACTTAATAGAGGAGTTCCAATTTGGAAGCTTCTGGACATACCTGAGTATAGAAAAGTAATCCAAGTTAAGTGGATTTTCAAGAGAAAACTCAATTCGGATGGCTTAGTTCATAAGCATAAAGCTAGGTTGGTTGTCAAAAGCTTTGGTCAACAATATGGAGTTGATTTCTTGGACACCTTTGCACCGGTAGCTAGACATAATACAATCAGATTATTACTTATTGTGGCAGCTCAATTTGGTTGGAAAATTTTTTAGTTGGATGTTAAATCAACCTTCCTAAATGGATGGTTGAATGAGGAGATTTATGTGGAGCAACCTGAAGGGCATCAGATTAAAGGAAAAGAGGACAAAGTTTAACTCTTGAAGAAGGCTCTATACAGCCTAAAACAAGCACCAAGGGCCTGGTATAGTAGAATCAATGATCACTTAATCAATTTGGAATTTGTAAGAAGTCCAAATGAGCACACCTTGTATGTAAGGGAGATAAATGAAGATGTAACTATTGTCTCTCTTTATGTAGATGATCTTTTGGTGACAGGGAGTAATCTTGCTCAAGTAGGAGAATTTAAGAAGGCCATGCATGTTGAGTTTGAAATGACTGATTTGGGTAAGATGGCTTACTTCCTCGGAATGGAGATTAATCAAACTCCATGTGGAATCTTTGTCAACCAAAAGAAGTATGCCAATGAAGTCCTACGGAAATTCAGTATGGAGAGTTGCAAATCCATGGACATTCCTTTAGTTCAAAATCAGAAACTTTCCAAAGAATATGGTGCAGTGAAGATTGATGAAGGGTTGTACAGAAGCCTAATTGACCATTTGCTAAATTTAACAGTAACCATACCAGATGTTATGTATGCTACCGGTTTGCTCTCCAGATTTATGAGCCATCTGAGTGAAGTCCATTTTAAAGCTACCAAAAGAGTGCTGAGATACGTAAAGGGAAGCACTGATTTTGGAGTATGGTTTAGGAGGTCATAAAACTTCAAATTAATGGGGTATTTTGATAGTGATTGGGTTAGTTCTGTGGATAATATGAGAAGCACTTTAGGGTATTTTCTACCTGAATTCTGGTGCTATTTGCTGGCTTTCCAAGAAACAAGAAAGCATGCTCAATCCACAACAGAGGCAGTGTATATCTCAGTTGCTATTGCTATAAATCAAGCCAATTGGTTAAGAAAAATTCTAGGTGATTTATGACTAAAATAGAGGAGTTCCACTGCAATTTTGTGTGACAATCAATCAGCAATAGCTATGGCTAAAAATCCAGTTCATCATGGTTGAACCAAACACATAAAGATAAAGTTTCAAGCTGTAAAGGAAGTTAAACAAGATGCAGAAGTTGAGCTGATACATTGCCGGGGTGAAGAATAAGTTGCAGACATCATGACCAAGGTTTTATCCAAATCCAAGTTTGAATATCTAAGGCTCAAACTTGGTGTTTCCAACAAAGATATCAAGGAGGAGTGTTGAAGGTGGTGATATCATGCTGGAAATGATGAAGTCGACTGAAAGTGGAGTTGCAAGTTTTTGGCGCCACGGTTTGAACTTCTGCTATGCATAGAGCAATGGTTTTTGGTCACTGTTTAGAATGACTTTTGTGATGTTTATTAGTGAGATGTTTAGGTGAATTTAGGTCTGGTTAAGTGATGTATTTGATATGTTTGTACGTGTATTAGTTTAATGTGCTTAGTTCAAATTCAAATTTGTAAAAATATCCATTGCATTAGGTGAAACAATGGAGTGGTTTGTATTTATTTTACCCTTGTTTTTTGAATGCAAAACAAAGCAATATTCAAATGGTCATCCCTCTCTCTTTACTGAGTTTTTATCTTACTTAGCACTCTCCAGGATAACCAACACAAACAACAACTTAACTGCCCTCCTAATTGAAATAGGAAATCTAACTGAGCTTGAAGATTTGAATGTCAATAATAATATGTAATCTATAGATAAATTGATGCAATTATTTTGTAGGAAATCTTTTGCGCAAACAAAATAAGACTGCCCTATGCATGTTTCTTCCTGTCTATGCTGTATACATAATTTTGTGATTCTTGATTGGCTTGTTTATCTTGCTCAAGATTAGTTCAATTCCTGCAAGTATAGGCAACTATGCTTCTCTTATCAAGGTAAAATTCTTGGTGTTTGTCTCTCTCTTTTTTTTATTTTAATTGAATGAAAATCTGTCTGTTGCGACGTAAATTACTTCGCCGTTGGCTGCAAACTAGAAGGATAATTTCCTATCCATGTAACATGAATTTGGTATTTTATTTGACTTGATCTTCACGTGGTGCAGGTGGATCTTTCATCAAATTATCTGTCTGAGTTGCCAGATGAATTTTACAATTTGCATAACTTGAAGGTCCCTACTTTCTTTTTAGTTATATATTTCTTTCTTTCTACTCTTTTTCATTTGATTGCGATATCAAGGTTCTAGGTAGTTTGTAAATGAAATTCCCACCTCACCTTGGTCGTTTTTTCACTAAATTAAAATAAAACTTAAGACATTATTATTGGAGGACAGTGCCTTATTATTGGAGAACAGTCAAATTCTTGTATCAAGAGGATCACCAATTCTTTTGCTGTTTGTCCTATAGGGGGCATGAGATTAGCCATCAAGAACTGTGGCTAATTTTTTATCTTGGATTTATACAATGTTTCTATTACTGTACAGGCTTTGGATATCAGTAACAATGCTATGAAAAGCCTTCCAAATTCGTTATTCAGGATGTGAGCCCAGCTATCAACTTTGGATCTTCATAATATAGAAATCACTAGGGATACCCTATTGTAGGTTTTGTATATTACTTATTAGAATTATCAAGTGGCCCAATTTATTCCCAATTTACTGTAACAGACTCTAAACTATTCTTCTGCAATAGTGTGAAGGATGGGAAGATTTTGACGAGCGCTGTTGTGTAGAGCGTCAGAGGCAAAGAGAGGAAATGTAAAACCTCATTCTATATATATATATATATTCTCTTTGGTTTTGTTTATAAGAAGGGACTTTTCTGTGTTGGGGATGAAAACGAAGAAATGGAAACTATTGGGTTTTCATGCAGCAGGGGCACAAAATCTGGAGGTTTTTACACGCAAAAGATTATGTGGCAGGGTTATACTAGAATTAAGAGAATTTGGGGGTTGTTGTGAAAATAAAAAAAATTGTTTTATATAAATCTAGGCGGGGAAGAAGAAGTGTTGGCCGAAAGGTAGAGTGAGAGAGAAATGGAGTAAAAATGGGGCTGAGAAAAATTTGAAGCAGATCACTTCGATCTGAGCTCGGGTAACTCATGCATGGGGGTTAGGAAGACAAATTTCTTAGTTTCTTTCTTCTTATAAAGGGTGGAAGATTGATCTTGGTTCCTTGGTGTAAGTGTCGAGGAAAAAAGTGTTTGAGACTTTGAGTTGAGATCAGTTGAGCTGAATTTTTGTGAGTGGATCAAATGAAAACTTTTCTTAAATTTCAGATCTATGCTTGCATATTAATTGTAGTTCGCCTTTTTGTGTTTTGATGAGATTTGAGCTAAATGTGAAGCTTGCTTAATTTATTTTCTTTTGCATGTTTTTGGATGTATTCTAGAGTGGTTGGTTTGAGTTTTAAAATGGAATGTAATTTGCTTGCTAATTGAACTTGCATGCATTTGGTTGTTTTATTAAATTGTGATGTTGACTAAATACTTTAATTGCATGCACTTGGCTGGATAACATTTGGGAGATGCTTGAGTTATGTTTTTGATTTAAAGGTTAGTTGGTTGAATACACTTGCATGCTCTCGGCTGGAATGTCTTTGAGAAAATTGATTTAATGCCGTTTTAAAATGCTGGAATTTAAGGCAACTTGGGTGGAAGTGTGCTCCGTATTGAGTAATATTTTATAGGAAGTATGAAATAGTGAGTCTTGGAAGTCAAAGAAAGTACTTCTCATTTATGATTGTACGACATTCCTTGGGTACTTGGGGTAATGTGCAGCATGTGAATAGTATGAAAGTGATACCTACACAAGAGTGGTGTCGGACGTGCCATTGTGATGGGTTGTTGAAGAAATTCTAGATCTAGGCTAAACCGTTAGTTTTTTAAATTAAAAAATTGTTGTTTCACCCCTGTATGTGATTTTGAATATTATGTCATATATGCATGATTTATAAGCACATATGTAATATGTTCTTGACTTACATGTTACTTGAGATTATGCATGAGATTGTTGTGGTGCTAAAACCACCCTACAAAGTACCCATCCTCCAGTTTCAAGCTCTGCCCATGCAATGCAGGATTTGTTGGGTATTGAGATATTCGGTCTTCAGGCTCTGCTTAGGCGTTGAGTTTGTCCGCCAAGTATTGAGATGGTTTTCTTCAGGCTCTGCTCGCGCGATGATAGATCTTGCCAGGTATTGAGATGTTTCTCCCAGCTCTGCCTGTATGTGGGACGCCCACCAGGTATTGAGATTTTTCCCCAAGGTACTGGTTGTGGTGAGAACCTTCAGTATTAGTTTATTGTTTCGGAGCAGGATATTAGTTTATAGTTTTCAAATACCGGCCTACAGTTTTCTGTATTAGTTAATAGTTTTAGTAACAGTATAAGAATCAGCTTTCAGTTTTAGAATGTTCAAAATCAGATTCAGTTTTCTGTATTAGAACAGTTATGGATAATTTGCATTAGTTATATGAAACATTCGATGTTTGTAGCATGATTTATGGAAAAACATTGTTTTCAGAAGCATAAGCATTTACAGCTATACTTTAAGTTCTCATAAAAGAGTTTTTAGCATTTAGTGATGAGTTAGGATTCAAAAATTATTTTTAGTTTAAATGATCAGATTACAGTACTTAGAACAATTAGAAACGAGTTATGCATGCATACATGAATGATTAGTTGCTTCCATAACATGTTCATAGAATCATGTTTTCAAAATTTCATAAGGACTATTGCAAACCATAACTATTGTTGAAGATATGTTTTGCAAACTCCCTTTTTTCCCCATTCACTGAGTATTTTAGCTCACCCCTTTTCAAAAAATGTTTTCCTCACCCCTCACCCCCCCACAAAAGGTTTACAGGGAGATCGAGCCAAGCAGTGAGTCACCCCTCAAGGTTGTATTGTTTTCTGTAATAGTCTTATGTTTTTGCTGTAATTACACAAGACTTGATACTTTGTTTCTAGATTTTTCATGGATTATGCATTTATGTTTTCCAAACTTCCTAAATTTGTTTATGTACTTATTCATACTTGTATTTTTAATTACATTTTCGTACGGATTATTTATGCATAGTATATTCAGAAAAACAGGATTTCAGGTTTCACAGTTTTCCCACATGACAAATCTCGGTCATCCAAGTCTTGTGGGAGCGCCTGGATATGGGATGAGGAAGGTCGGGATGGGTCATGTCAGGAAATTTTTAATTCTGTTGAATTTGATAAATTGGCTGATATTATATTGAGTGATCTATTTCTGGATACAGATGGCAGTTTTACAAGTTAGATATGAAAAATCTGGCTTTTACATTTAGAACAAAAGAACTTAACATTTGATTCAACCTTGATGATATGTGAATAGTTATAACAGGATGGCTAATTTTAGCTTTGTATAGGATTTTCTCCCTCGAACATTCTCTTGGAAGTAATGAAACCTGTTGAATTACTACCAGGGTACTCTCGTTTTGATCAACTACATCACATAGGAAGTAGTAGGACATGGGTTAAAATCTTAAAATTTCTGGATAAATTTGCTTGTGACTTCTATTATTTCAGCAAACTATAATAGGACAAGATATATTATTTCCAAAATACATATTCATGAGATATTGGACTCAAATCTTCCGGGTAAGCTCACCAACACCTTTTCAACAATTCTTTTGTCTGTCATCTCCTCACCAAGTGGCCAAATTTTGTCGACAACATTCATTAACCTGTCAACATACTCCTTTACAGATTCTGATTCCTGCATTTTTAACATCTCAAACTCTCTTATTAAGTTCAACACATGCATGTTTCTAGTTTTATCACTTCCGCCAAACTCCTCCTTGAGCTTGTCTCATATATGCTTCCTTTGCTGTCTCATAAGCCATAATCCCTGGAAACACAAGGTCTATTACAGCTGCATGGATGTGAGACAAAGCTCTTGGAGCCTTAGGTTCTTCTTCTTCATAGAGCCTGATCTGATTCAGCGTGGGATTGGGTCCCAGCTGTGGTGGTTGCTTCTCTTCCTCTACATCCTGCCACAAGCCTTGGCCTCGCAGGAATGCTTTCATTTTGACAGCCCATATATGGTACTCTTCTCCATTGAAAACAGGAGGAGAAAGAGAGGCTGTGCGTTGTGCCATGAAGACAGGTTCTTTGTTGAGTTGACAGTGGAGTTTTACGTGAAAAGGAGTTGATAATGTAGATTGAGAGATGAGTTTTGCAGGCCCTTTTGATCGTAAGAAGAGCTCTGATACCAATTGTTGGTTTTGCTGGAGAATGCAAAGGGAAAAACTGATGAAAGAGAGACGAAAATTGGCTGCAAATTCAACTTAAACTTTCATTCAAAAAACAGAGAAATTTTTATACAAAAGTTGTCCACTGTTTCATCTAATGCGGTGGATAATTTTACAAGCGTAAATCTCAACCATACAATCAAAACTAATACAAGTACAAGCCTTTAATATAACCCTTAATCAAGGCTAAATTCACCTAAACATATCACACAATCATATCACAAAATCTAGCAAAACAGCAGCTCCATCCAACTGCTTCTTGTACAGCAGATTTTTCAAACTTGGGCGCCAAAATGTTGCAACTTCAACAGTCTGAAATCTTCTTCATTTCCAGCAAAATATCACCAACTTCAACAAGAACATAATATTTGACTCAACTTCACTGCTATGTGAATAGTCATAACCAGATGGCTGATTCTAGATTTGTATGGGATTTTCTCCCTTGAACATTCTGTTGGAAGTAATGAAACCTGTTGAATTACTACCAGGGTACACTCCTTTTGACCAACTACATCACATAGGAAGTAAGATATTGGGTAAAATCTTAAAATTTCCAGATAAATTTGCTTCGGATTTCTGTTATTTCAGCCAATTGTAACAGGACCGGATTTATTATTTCCAAAATACATATTCCAAAGAAACAACGATATCTCAGCCTAACGAAAATAACCCATAAATCTAGTGCTAATTAACACCGCCAAATTTTGTATAAAACTATAGTTACTCACTCTCAGAGAACACTCGCGGCAAAACAAAAAAAAAAAAAAAAACTATTGAACACTACTAAATTGTTTAGCGCCTGAATTGGCTTTCTAATACACACAACAAGAATAGGTGTTTGTAACAGAAGCAATCGAAAAGCTTTTCACGGAAGAAACAGAGAGCAAGATGGAAGAAAGCAACATTAATATCACAGTGAAGTTCATTAGAGAATCGATAACAATAACTGCATCGCATGACTCAACAGTTCAACGCTTGAAGAGCATTCTTGTACCTCTCACTAGTGTCCACCCTGTTGACCAGAAACTCATCTTCAAAGGTTCCATTTCGTTGAAATATCAAAACCCATGTTTCAAAATTGAATCTTGAATTCTTGGTGATCACCTTTTTGTCTTGTTTTTGTGTTGAAAGGCCGACTTTTGGAGAACGAGAAGTCTTTGAGAGAATCTGAGATCAACAATGGAGCCAAGATCATGCTTGTGGGCACTAAAGTAAAAATTTTCATTTTTATTTTGTCAATTTAAACTAAAATGTTATTAACGTG